GTTTATTCTTCCAGTAAGTAAAGATAGAATGGGCATCAAATCCCTAAATTTCTATGGTGTTCCAGCAATGAGTCACTTTCATTAGGTAACTGGGAGAAAGGCTTATTCAGTATGGGAGAGTTTAAAAGGAATTTCTTTGGCTGGTGGGCCTGTGGATGTTGTTAACTCCGTGCTGTCATCAGACACAAAATTTGGATGCCATCACTATACTCTGGTTTTGGGACAGACCAACACCAACTACTCTCAAAAACACCCTGAGAAAGTCCATCTCTTTCTAAAATTTCCACTTTTGCCTGTGACACTGAACAGACATGAAATTTCTGCTTCCTGTACCCAGTACTAAGGTCTCTCCTGTTTGATATTTCTTCTTCACCATGGAAGAGAGGGAAGTCCTGATGTCATCATTAATGCTTCTGTTTTTCTTTAAGCCTTGTTTTTCTTAATGATGACACAAAGTCATCTCTTTATACTCTGCTAAAGGGCAGTGACATTTGTGTGGAGGAAATCAGGAAGAATTTTGGTAGCTGGAGTCTTGCTTCCACTTCTGCCTTTCCTTGATGCAAGTAAAACCCAACTCCCTGGAGACTGTGACCTGTGTCCTTTCCCAGCATTACTGCTCCTTTGTGCCCCTCTTCCTCTGGCAATTACTCACCTTCCCCTTTTTCCCAGAGGCAGTCTCTGATTTTAAGAAGGCAATGGTTTGTTTTAGGTTTGAAAAATACTGAATTTCAGAGAACAGGCACTGCTGCAGTTTGCTTTCCATGTATTACTCTGTACGATGCAATGGGTAGATTCTGCAATGCTTAAGTAATGGTTAGGTCTATCTTTGGTTAATTTTCACATCCCTCATTTCAGAGTGTTTGAGGCAATGGCAATTCCTTATAGCCATATTGTATAGGATAAGTACGTGTCTCTAATCCTTTATACATTAATCTATTTGTAGTCTTATTCCAGCTTCATGAATAAAGTTCTTTCTTTACCCCAGATTCATGGTGAAAATGCAGTAAGAGACATTTATCTGATATTGGGGAACATGAGTATGACTTGGGGCAGAATACAAATCAGAATTTCTGGATTTTCTATCTACATATGTGAATTGGAGGGAAACTAAAGCCTGCTGGTGTCTGTGCTTCCCTATCTGTAAAACAGGGATATGGATATATTTGTATTTTATGGCATAAATAATTACAAAGTCAGTGACAAATCTTAGAAATTCAACTGTGAGATAACATGCAAGCACATAATATTAATGTTGTATTATGTCCCTAAACTGTTTCTTGGGGATATATTTGATGGGAAGGATATAGTGAGATCAAAATAAACTTTTTTTCACCCCAAATATTTTTTTAGAACCCAAAGTAAAAGTTGTTTCCACCAACTGCTATCTCTGCAACCATCTGGAAAATCACATTTTCTGAAGCCTTCCTTCTCTTTATCATCGGTAACTAAAGCTATAAAATAGAAAGACGTCCCTGGTTTAATTAACACCCCTGTAGTTCAAAAGCTGATCTTAGTAATGAGAGGCAATTATAGCCTTTATTGAGGGACAGTCAGGTGGAACTAACCCATCATCAATCTGGTGAAGACACTTCCTTTTCCAGGTAATTTGGAAACTGCTTTTTATGATAAACAGACTACCTGGCTCAATACAACAGGTGAATCTCTTTCCTCCGTAACCTGGAAAAGAACCTCCTGTTTTGAGTTTTGTGCTTCTTTTGTAAAGTGGTTTTTACAACCCATCCATCAACAAAGAATAAACCTGTTGCTTTTTGAAGGGGATTCTTGCTGGTTTTCTTGTTTTATTTTCCTTGTCTAGTCTCGCTTTACATTTTGAAGGTTGTCTGGTGTTTGTATTTTAGTTCTAGTAAAAGTGCAGACTCTGAGATGCAGCCCCACCCTGAGAGGAAGGCAGAATTCTGGGTTCTGCACCTCAGCACTGGTGTGGCGCAGCTACAGAAGATCCAGAGAAGGACATGGAAATGATCAAGGAAATGTGATTTCTGCTGTATGACTTAAAAAGGCTGTGGCTTCAGTTTAGACAGAAAAAACCTGAGAGCAGAGATAAAGCTGAGTTTAGCTGAAAACATGAAGGTGGTAGATAAGAAAGATTTAGAGCTTCAATTCTGCAACTAAGGTGTTCTAGCTGAAACAAGGAGATATCCTTGAAATTAAAAAGTACCTTTTTTACATAGCAGATAGTGAACTTCTGGAATTTGTTGCCACAGGAGATTGAGGAGGTATGCAGTGTCAACAGTTTAGAAAAATAATTAGACAAACTCAGAGTAGCAGGTCCATGACCTGAGTCTAAAGGTGATGGGCAGGGCTCCTCAGTGGTATCTCATGTCAGACCTGTCCTCCAGCTTCAGATGTGTAAGATCTGTGGGTCTGCAGAATGCCCTGTGCTTTATCTGCCAGCCATCTGTGGGTATCCTGATATCTCAGGGGTCTGGTATAAAGCTAGATGGTTCTTTCTGGAAAACTGATTTAAACCCTCAATATCTCCAATGCAGGCGGCTGCACTGGAGACAGTCACTCAAGGTGACCATCATGATTAGGATATCTTCATTTGGCTGTTTATCTGCCAGTGCTGTGGGTGTCTAAATTCTTCTGTGGTCAACAGATGTCTAGTCAGTCTAATGGGGACCTAATGAATATGATCAATGAGCAGTCAGAGCTGTCATTTCTTCCTGCCAGACTTGGGATGGTCAGTGAAAAAACTCACTGCTGCCTGTTTGCATAGAATTTTAGTTGACTGCAACAGGAGTTTGGACACATAGAACACATGAGAACACATGCAGATACATAAATGTAGGTGTATTAATCTTGAACAGAGTTCTGTCCCAAGATTTCTATTATAATGATTGTAGAGAAATGGTTGTCTCCTGAGAATAATTCACTGACCTGTTTTAAACATCTCTGTGTACACAACAGGAACTGCCCTTGTGCAGTTCACAGTTCTTCTCACTGACTGTAAAGGGACTCTAGATAGTGGTTCCCACCTGGTGAATGGACACAAAGGGCAAGTGGGTCCCAGTCATCTCATTTTGGAGACTTTGGTACAGTCTCTTAAAATGTCACCTGTAAGAAATGTAGATTTTTAAAGCAATGTAATCTGAATAGGTATAATTATAAAATCAAAACAGCTCCCCGCTTCTGGTTTGATTTAGAATGATTAGCCATGATTTTCCCATCTGAAAACTATGCTGCCAAATGTGGTACATCCTCTATTCTTGGACTAGTTTAACATCCTGATGAAATTGCCTTTTTCATACTAACTGTAAAAGCTGTAAAACTATGGCACAAGCTGGTAAGTTGTTTATTCTTCCAGTAAGTAAAGATAGAATGGGCATCAAATCCCTAAATTTCTATGGTGTTCCAGCAATGAGTCACTTTCATTAGGTAACTGGGAGAAAGGCTTATTCAGTATGGGAGAGTTTAAAAGGAATTTCTTTGGCTGGTGGGCCTGTGGATGTTGTTAACTCCGTGCTGTCATCAGACACAAAATTTGGATGCCATCACTATACTCTGGTTTTGGGACAGACCAACACCAACTACTCTCAAAAACACCCTGAGAAAGTCCATCTCTTTCTAAAATTTCCACTTTTGCCTGTGACACTGAACAGACATGAAATTTCTTCAGTTAATCAATGTGATATAACCCTGTTTTGGAGACTCAACATTGTTGAGGTAGAACATTGAGGCAGAACATTGAGGCATAACGGGCTGCTCATTCTTTCACCTTTCCCACTCCTGTGTGAACCTTGTTGTTCTGTGCCTTGTTTACTTCAGACACAGGGCATGGGTGAGGAGATATGGGACGATGGTGTGACTGCAGTGTCCCTGCAGCTTTGGATCTGGCTGGGGTGGCATGTGGTGGTGTTTGAGGGTCCACAGGACAAGGGAAGAGATAAGAATCTTGACTCCATGTTTCAGAAGGCAGATTTATTTTTTTATATATATTATATTAAAAGAAAATGATGTACTAGAACTATACTAAAGAGAAAGGAAACATCAGAAGGCTAGAAAAGAATGGAATGAATAATAAAATCTTGTGACTGCTCGCAGCCTCGACACAGCTGGCTGTCATTGGTCATCAAGTAAAAACAATTCACATGCTGGGTAAACAGTTCGCCAAATCACATTCCAAAGCAGCAAAACATGGAGAAGATGAAGCTTCTCAGCTTCTCAGGAGAAAAGATCCTAGCGAAAGGATTTTTCAGAAAATATGTCTGTAACAGCATCAGAGTGATTTATGTGGCTTGCTTGATGGGGGAACCGTGACCATCCCCTGCCCTGCTAACTGAAATAAACATGGGCAGGAGACTTTTCTCATTTTTAATGCTTTTATTAAAAGTGATCAGCTCGGGTGGGGAGAGCTGGTGGGTCCACGCTCAAGCACCGCTTCTCCAAGGAGTGACTCGGAGGAGGAGGAAGATGCAGCTGTGTCCACTGCTCTGTGGGCAGAGCTGGGGGTTCTGTCCTCACAAGAGCATCGGGAAAATCCCTTGTTCCCTTTTTTGGTTTGACCTTCAGCGTTCTGCCTCTAGCCTCTAGGTCCTCTGTGGCTAGGGCGAGGGGCAAAAAAGGGTCTCAGCGTCTCTGCAGGCTCTGAACTTTGTTCCTCACGTCCAGACATCACTTTGATCTCTTAATTCTGTGTTGGCTCGTTATTTTTGGGTCTTTTTGGTAAGTTTGGTGGGGTGACTTTCCTGTGGCATGCTGGCTCCGAGGTCATTTGCATGCCCTCCGATGTCCCCTCCTCTCACTGTCCGAGAAGGGTCATCCACCTGGCAGCAGGCAGGGTGGTACTGACAAAAAGGGGAATTCTCAACAATAGGGAGTTAACGACCGACTCTTAACAGGTGATTACAACATGAAGTTAACAAGGATCTCTCCTTTGCCAGCAACCAGCTCAACTTGTATCTCCTCAAGCTTAAAAAATGGGTAACCTTTTTTTTACTCATAACACTGACTGTGGTGTGTTTCCATCCCCCCTCCAGGTTACGGACACGCTGCCCCAGGGACGGATGCAGGGAAGGCTTTCTGCATGTTCTACGCCGTGCTGGGGATCCCTCTGACCCTCGTCATGTTCCAGAGCCTGGGCGAGCGCATGAACACCTTCGTCAAGTACCTCTTGAAACGCATCAAAAAGTGCTGTGGCATGAGGAGCACCGAGGTCTCCATGGAAAACATGGTCACTGTGGGGTTCTTCTCCTGCATGGGGACACTCTGCATTGGAGCAGCAGCCTTTTCCCAGTACGAGGAATGGAGCTTTTTCCACGCTTACTATTACTGCTTTATAACATTGACTACGATAGGGTTTGGAGACTATGTGGCCCTGCAGACCAAAGGGGCCCTTCAGAAGAAGCCTCTCTACGTGGCTTTTAGCTTTATGTACATTCTAGTGGGGTTGACAGTCATCGGGGCATTTCTAAATCTGGTTGTTCTCAGGTTCTTGACCATGAACAGTGAGGATGAGAGGAGGGATGCCGAGGAGCGGGCGTCCCTGGCAGGGAACCGCAACAGCATGATTATCCACATCCAGGAGGACTCCCAGCACGGGCGGCCGCGCTACAAGGCCGAGGTGACAGACCTCCAGTCAGTTTGTTCCTGCATGTGTTACAGGTCCCACGAGTACACCAGCCGGGTGGTGTCCCACCAAAATTCATTCAGCTCGAAGCTGAACCCCCAGTACTTTCACTCCATCTCTTACAAGATAGAGGAGATCTCGCCAAGCACATTAAAAAACAGCCTTTTCCCATCTCCTGTCAGCTCCATCTCACCTGGGTTGCACAGCTTTACAGATAACCACAGGCTGATGAAACGGCGAAAGTCCATTTAAAGGGATTTGTCTTATTTTGCTTTCCTTGTTTTTCCCAATTCTTTGTTGTTTTGGGTCTTTCTGTTCCTTGAGTGAGACGGAGCGAGGCCAAAGGGAGTAGAGCAAGCCAGTCCTCCTCTGAGACTCAGCTCCTGAGCATGAAGCATGGATTATTACTGTTCCAGCAAAGTATGCCTTACATTACCCCCTTGGTGGATGTCAGAGGATTCAAGGTGACGTGAAGTGGGTACCAAATCCAAAGTTGCACACACAGCTGGGAGCCTTCATGTGCCACTGGCACTCCTGACCTAACAAACTTTTTTCCTCACGAGCAGGTTGCAGTGTGTGTGCGTGTGCCTGTGTGAGTGCTGGGTGTGTATGCGTGTGTGTCTGTGCGTGTGCAATTCCACAACCAGTGCCATGTGACAAAAATTAAAGCATCAGGTATTATTTTTTTCTTTTGCCCTTGAAGCAGTTGTGTTCCAGCCTGCTTTTTTAGATTGCTTCCAAAAGGAAAGGGGAGGGTGGGAGGGGAGCCAATTTGTTTTAGTTTTCTTTTTTTTGCCAAGAGAAGCATGCGCCATAAGCAGTCAATATACCAGGTGTATCATGGTAAATTTTTTAATGCTAGATTTTAGATTGTATTAACATTAAAAAAAAAAGGCAGGAGAAGATGGATCATTTTAGCTTGCCAGTTCAAAAATAAAAAAAATAAATAAAGCATGCACTTTGTAAAACTGGTATGCATAATAAAAACACAAGAAAAACTAGCAATGGAATTAATAATCAAAAGCAAATAATCATATTAATTTAACTATATTTAATTTTATAATTTTCAACTGTTCCAACAATTTGCAAACAGAATTCCTAGGATAAATTGGAAAAATTGTTGGAACAGGAGAGTGTATTTTGTTATTTCAATTTTATTTATATTATTATTATTATTATTATTATTATTATTATTATTATTATTATTATTATTATTTTGTGCAGCAATTACCTGCATGAATAGGATTTTCTATTCTTTGGAATGCTTGGTTGAGATGGGTATAAATAGGAGGATGTATATTTTTTCTTATATAATAGTGACAGGGCATTCCTTGTTTTAAATAAAAAAAATAAAGATGATTGTCTCTAAATGCTTTTGATTTGTAAATAATGGAAAGCCTTTGTTGGTCTCAGGAAGAATTCAAGGGACAGTATCTTGTGTTTGGCTCACTGGGAACTTGTGAGATTAGATATGATATTGCTTTTTTTGCTAGCAAAGGAAAAATGCATTTAGCAGTAACAGGCAAAAATAGCTTTACTCCAGTGTTTGAAGGGTAACAGCAGGAGCAGTTGTGTTGGCAAGTTGTAGTGGAGGATGTTGAGACCATGTCATAGAGTTGTTCCTTGGACATTGTCCATCTCTCAGTTGTTCATCTGGACCAAACAGACTTTACAGAACTTAATTTGAGGCCTAATCCAGCTCCCTTTTAACAGAATAGGAATTTTCAGTGATTACATGGGATTTAGTGCTTTTGGAGATTTATCTTTGATTTTACAAGAGTGGGACTGGGGGTTTTATGAACCTGCACCTTTGTCTCTGATTTAATTCTATCTTTTAAATTGCTTTCCGTGTTAATTTGCCATACAAAACCCATTTCTTTTTGGCACTAATCACCTCCTGCTGATTCTACCATTCTGTGCTCTCAGTGTAAAAGCAATAATCCTTTTTTTACCCTTAAAAACTAGATGGTGTGTGCCCAGCTCTGAGCTCTGTGTGCTGATGGATGTTGATACCCTCTCAAAGAGACATTTATAAAGAGCATTAATACGGAGAAATAAGGAGTGTCATTCCTCCTCTGTTGTCTTCTCCTTGGCTTTAAATTATGAACTATCAAATATGCTCATGTTGTCCACATCTGTCTTTCAGTAAGTAAATGACAAACAAGTTATCCATGACTTTGACTCCGTTATGCAGCTTCCTTTGGGTGTAGAAATTGCTGTGGCATGAAATCCTCCATTAAGATTGGTGAAGAACTAACAGGATTCTTAATGAGGATGGACTTTGTCAGAGTAATGTGTGGGGCAAGCTGGGTGCATCAATGCTGTGCTGCCAGTACCACGTCCTAGGGCAAATGCTGATGGCAGAAGGATCAAAGCAAGAATACCTAAAAAAGCGGTTTCAGGATGTATTAAACCACCTCAGTGTTTGACACCTTGAGCTGCTTCCCCTGACAGCCCATAGGGTTCACAGTGTTCTCCAAATTCACTTTTTTCATCTTTGTTTGTTATCCCAGAAGTGAAAATAAATGTATGGCTCTTTTCCTGCTATGGAGAGAAGTAGGCCTGGAATATACACCTCTGTATCATGTACAGCTGCTGGGAATATTTTGGGGTTTTGCAGAATTCAAGTTGAATTCTGTGCCTGGAAAAAGAGAATTTTAGTAACAGGACCTTTAGCAACATCTTCAAAAAGAAAAAACGCAGTTGCATCATTGCATCGATTTTTTTTTCTTTTTCTTTAGGAAAGGAAGAAATTATTATTTCTGCTGCACATAAAAAAAATCATCTTTAAATGTCTTATAAAACATGTTGAACTGAAGAGGTTGAAAACTTTACATACTCTAGCTGATTTGTTACTAAATCTTCCCTCTGGAACCATAAATGAAGAGTCAGTTTTAATACATGGGATGTTTAACCAGGAGAGAAACTTACCTCAGCATATCATGCCACGTAGAGTCTTTGCGTTAAAACTCAATGGCTTTATAATAGCTCTGCTTTAGCTTAGTTGAAGTTTGTAGATGTAGTTGAAGAAATCTGTGTATGTTGATATGAAGGAGCCAGAGTAGATGTCTGTAGCCATATTTTTAAATTTAAAAGCTATAATCAGTGTATATGTTTGAAAGTGTTTTGCTTGAATGTATCTGCATTCCTTGGGATTTTCAAATATGCTTATTTATTTTATTTTCTGGCTGAAGAGCCCACAGTTGTGTCCAACATATATTTTTGCCACACATGGGATTTTGAAGTAGCAGGATGTTTCATTTGCAAGGAAACTCTTGCAGGACTTTGCTTTGTGAGCAGCCAGACACAAGAACCCTCACATGTGCACATCAGAACAGGAGGCAAAATCTGCCTCTCTTTAGTTGTTTTCATGGTTCTTGACTGATGTGTGAATAATGGCCTGGGCTGTCTGGAACTGGAACAGGCTGAATCATGAAAGGGAGGCTTTTGTCCAAGGTTAATCCCAGCTTTTCAGTTAAACACGAAAAACCAGCCAGTGAAAGGTGAGCTGACTTTTGTCAGTTCTGACTTCTTATTGCCCTACATGTTTTCTTCTCACAACACTGCTTTTCACAGAATATTTTGGCTAGTACATTATTGAGTTTATTCCATTTAAGAAATAATCTCTCTCAGAACAACTTCTCTTGCTCGCTACTTGCTCTTTTGAAATTCAGCTATGAGCAGGTAGTAGTGGTGCTGCTCATGACTAGACATCCTAATGTCTGCTATCACTTTGTGATGCACTCTCATTCCCCAGAGTCTCATTTCCCCTACCATTCCCTATTATTAAGCATTAGAAATAATAATAATAAATCAGATTAGTCTATTTATGTCACACTAATGTGCTCTTCATCAAAACAACACAAATTTAGCTCCCTGCTGTCGACTTTGATTATATAACAACCCTATTATCCTATAATACTTCATATTATCATCAAAGGGAAAAATCAGTTTGATCAGTGAAGCACCAAAATAGCTTTGACTGAGCGTGCTGTGATATGGAAACAAGAGGAAACTTAATAGAACAATGCAGGCACAAGTCTCCACTTAGTCTTCATTACTGTGTAAGGAATATCCTGACAGGTGTAACAGGCACTGCTTTGCCAGAACTTTATGCATGGACCTGCTTTACAGGGATACCTGTAGCTGGGCAGCCCCATAAAGGGTCTTTGGGTGTTCCTAGAAGAGTCCAAAATAGCTTCTTGCTTGTTAGTGAATGCAGAAGATGTACGGTGACCTTCAGCAATAAATTTCTGTTTGAACTCTCTGTAACAGCTCATTAGGATGAAAAAAACATTATTAAAAAAAAAAAGAAAAAGAAAAGAAAATAAAAAGAAAAATAAAAGAGGGAAGTCACCAAGTTAATCTACTGTATTGTACATTTTCTCATTAGGTCCCTAGTGCTTTGATCAATGAAATGCCAGGGTAGTAATCAAGATTATTGTGAATCTGACCTTAAGCAAGGTAATCCCTTGTTTTCTCTGACAGATTTGGAAGGTTTTGTTAAGGAAAAAATAAAGCTTGATTTGTTGCTAAAAGCTTAAAAAGCAGCAGTCAGTAGAACCAAGATGGAGCATGAAAATGTTTCAAAACCATTTGGTGTGTGCAGAGCAGAGGGCAGGGGTTTGGTTAGAAGGAGCTTCCAGCTGAAGTTTATGTCCTCATTTAGCTTTATGTAATACTCCTGTTAATATTAAGATCTAATTAAGGCAGTCATTTAAAATCTTTATGAGGACGCTGGATGAGAAAGATGTGTTGGAGTGTGTCCATTACACTAATGTTATGGACTTTTTCATGCATATTTCAACAAGACACTATTACTGACTGGAATATTGCACAAATTACAATGAGAATCACACCACTGCTGCTTTCAGCAGCCAGAGATGTGTAACACTCATAGAACTGAAAAAGAAAATAATGCTTTTCTGACCAGCCTGCTGTCATTTAACTTTTTATATAAAATTTTATTTTGGGAACTTCAGCAAGATAAATTGTAGAAAAAGGATTTGCTATCATAACAATTCACCAAAATTGAAAAAAATGGAATAATGACATTGGACACAGAGAAATTGATTATGGATGGAAGGTGCCCTGGGACTCTTATGCCAGTTATTGTGAGCTTAGAGGCTGAATGAAAACCATGAAAAACTGATGAAACCCTTTGCCAAAATGCAGTTTTCAGTTCTTTAAGATGCATATTATGAATATGGCAAAGCAAATTTCACCCCCATAAAAATAGTAGGAAGGCAAAAAGAAAGTTGGGAAAACACAAAATTGTTCTCAGAAGCAGGAGTAGTTCTGTTATTTCCAGTTGAAATGGCTGTGAGGAGGTGCTGAAGGACTGCTGAGCTTTCACCTGTGGAGACTCAGTCTGGGACACTGACTGTCCTCTGCTCAGCCAAACTCTGCCCCAGTGTTCCACTGATAATGGCTGGTGGGGAGATTCATGGAGTTCCTGTCTCTCTAGTCAGGTTTTTGCTCTGTCTCCATTTAAACCAAGATTTTATTCAGCCAGCCCATCCTAAGCAGTGCTGGTTTCTGGGATATATTAGTGATACTATTTCCTCCTCCTGTTGCTCCCAAGTACAAAAGGACATGAGCAAACTCTCCTTGTCTAAGGTCTGAGTAGGCAGGGCCTTCCTCTGGAGCCAGCTGACTTGGGTGCCATGCAATGAGTCCTGATTTACACCCTTTTCCTGAGACTGGAA